GGGGGGGGGGGGGGGGGGGGGGGGGGGGGGGGGGGGGGGGGGGGGGGGGGGGGGGGGGGGGGGGGGGGGGGGGGGGGGTCGACAACAAATGCTGTCTTGGATAGCGAATAGAGCCGTATGGCGTCAAGAGTTACAGCGTCAGCAACAACGTCATGATGATGAAGGACTGATGTTGCATTTGGGATGAGAAGGGGTGATTGCTGCATTTCGACAACGGATTGAGCAGTGAAAACAACAACAACAACAACAACAGCGACAGCGACAGCACCAACAACAACGCAGCATCCAGCAACGACAGCAGAGAAGACGGCAAAAAGTGGACAAGAAACACGCAGCACCCTACCTCCACGGGGACGAGCATGTGATAATGCCGCCCGTCCCGTTTCGGCGTCGCCCACTCCTGATCTTTCACGATGAGGTCGCCCTCAACGAATGGAACACCTAGCCTGGACATCACCGGTCTTGACCGCCTAAGGCAGCAAGCACCATTTGGTTTTCGTTCCGAGGGGGTACATAGAGTGCGCGTGGGGATAGAAAGCGTTCGTGTTGGGGGGGGCCCTAAAACTGTTGACGACGCAAATGAAAGATTCGTTCCTAACATCTAGCGACCATTTCCGCTCACACAAGGGGTACCAGTAAAGGACGTGCCGCAATCTTCCGTAAGGAACGGGGCTCCGCCGAATCATCCAACAGCAATAATGCGTATCCTTACGCCAAAGGCCCAGCACATGCCCCCCAGAATCTCCGTAGGTCCTAATCAAGCGCCGGGCCTGAGCTGCCATGTCATTTTCTCCATTTTTCTTGGACGTTCGATCCAAAAGCGTCTGTGTGTAACTAGGTACGACCCATGACACCAAGGAATCACCATACCTGCACAAGGCCTAACTCGCGCCTTTCACGTTCGATTAAGAACCTGCCCGCCTACCCACCTACACTTGGGGAGCCTCTGTCTTCGCCAGCCACAAGCAGCTGAAACAAAAAAAACAAGAAGCTCACAACGCCAAACTCATTCTGAACCACTGTTTTTTTATATATAGTCTATCTCCCTCTCTCTTCTCCCTCTCCGTCTCCCTCTCCCTCTCGACATGTCGCCTCTGTCCCTCTCTCTACATGCCGTCTGTCTGTCTGTCTGTCTGTCTGTCTGTCTCCCTGTCTCTGTCTCTGTCTCTGTCTCTGTCTCTGTCTCTGTCTCTGTCTCTGTCTCTGTCTCTCTCTCTCTCCCTCTCTCTCTCTCTCTTTTTCTGTTTGCCTCTGTGTGTACACACATACGTCGCGTCACCTGTTGAGAACCTCCGAGCCGTTACGGTCCATCAGCCCGAGCCTGCAGTAGGCATCCACCCCGTACCCCTCCGGACCTGTCACCCCCGCCGCCAACTGGCTCATCTGGGGGAGTGAACGTTCCATGGGAATTCAAGGGGTGGGGGACGGGTGGATGGGGGAACGTACATATTCATTTGCATGCCTTGGCGATTAGACCCTTCACGAAGGGAGGGTGATACGTGAACAAAATGGCTGCCAAAATCATGTGACCCCAGGGCATGTCCGAGAAGGAACCAGGCGGCCGGGGGGGGGGCAAGCTGCACCAGGATTCCTTACGCTACCGGGATTGTCTGGCCAGAACTGCTGCCTGTTCCTGATGGAAATTGTTTAACTGGTACATACACAGTAGTGGATTGGGGGGGAGGGTCAGGTACACGCCTCTGCGGGTCCGCGGGGCCCTTTTTCTAACTCTACCCGTCTTGGCAGGCGCCGACGAAGCGACGAGGGTGGGTCCCGCTATTTCAAGACGACACAGAAAATAATAGGACCGGAGGGAACGGCTGAACTACCATTCTAACGTCCCCTGAGGCTCGTCTCTTGTTTTGCTCTCGGTGGGCTAACCCAACATTGGCGACAAAGGCCGTAGAGTGCGATTCTTAACCTTGCGCATGTTCTCATGGTCATGTTCTTTACTCTGTCTCTATTTGAGTCTGAATTTCACAACATCCCAGGTTCTCAAGGAGGTAGCTACTTCCTTTTTACATTATTAACCCGTTCGGGGGGCAGAAGGGCGCAAGTTTAGTCGCCCGAGGGACTGCGCGTGCGTGCGCCCCGTCAGTCAAACCTTGATCAGCCAACATCGAAAATGTGGCGTTGTCGGGCAGCCAACGAAAACGAGGCTATCCTTGGCGGGGCCAAAGAAGCGCAGATTCCGCACCCCCCCCGCCCGCCCCCCTCCCGACAGTGGATGCGTGTGTGTGTGTGTAGTTTTTTCTTAACAAAATATACGTACAATCAAACGAAGAGATACAACACCCCTTTGTTGAGCGCCTTTCCCCAGCGACCACTCCCGCACGAACACGCCAAAGCGAACCTCACGACAACCACCACCACGAACCTTGCCCTCGCACTTGGAGATGACCTCCACGTCACCGTCCCGGTACGCGTCGACCATCTCCCGAAACAACCCTTGGTACACGCTGTCCTGAATCGTGTGAGAAGTCGTGAAGNNGGGGGGGGGGGGGGGGGGGGGGGGGGGGGGGGGGGGGGGGGGGGGGGGGGGGGGGGGTACTCATGGTTAATGCATGCCATACAGAACGGGCCCGGAGACAAGAAAATATGGAGTTGGTTGTTGGATCCATCGCTGAGCTGTGTTTCATCCAATTTTTCGTGAAAAGATAGAGCCGCTGATTGTTGAAATATTTCTTAAACCCTTAGGGCTAGATCGCCTTTGGGGACACTATTTGTCCCCATCTTCTTCACCTGCTTTACCTCGCGAAGAACGGCACGATTGTCTCCTCCTTTGAACTACTCGACCAGGGCGGTGCGAGGGTACACGGGGACGACTCTAGTATAGTATGGATGCTTTGTAGAGTGGAGGAGTATGAGGGTTATGAACAGGTCGAATCGGGGGGCGATTTCGCCGCGGGTTCAACAGTGAAGTTGCGCCGCGTCTGTCTACCCTTGGGTGGAAAGCGCTACTACGGTCAAGCGCGGAAGAAGTACCTAGCCCACCGTTGATAGGAGGCACCGGGCAACCTAGGGCTTGGGTTAGAAGGTCTCGCTTTCCCTCTAGAGAAATATCTTGAAAACCTCGTTCTCGTGCCCCATTTACCACGCTCCCACCAGTTGCTGTCTATAATCCCTATCAAATGTCCCCTCGATCGAGGGGACATTTGATAGGGATTATAGACAAGAGACGGCTCAAGTGGGAAGGCAGCTTCGCACTTGTACNTTGGGTTAGAAGGTCTCGCTTTCCCTCTAGAGAAATATCTTGAAAACCTCGTTCTCGTGCCCCATTTACCACGCTCCCACCAGTTGCTGTCTATAATCCCTATCAAATGTCCCCTCGATCGAGGGGACATTTGATAGGGATTATAGACAAGAGACGGCTCAAGTGGGAAGGCAGCTTCGCACTTGTACCCAGGGATGGAACTGTCTGCACCATCCAATCAGCAGGCGCCGTTCGCTCTTTTTCCTACATTTCAGAAATTTCGCAAGAACGCCGAATTTTCTGTGCGTGGTAAGGGGGGTTAACTGACTGCTGTGGCCCGTTCTGTTTGAGTAGTCGCTACACTTTGGACCTCGTATCCCTACAATGCCGGGACAGAGCGATATGCCGGGGTTTCGCCAGCCCAGGCTGTACAAGATACGTTTCACGAGGATGAACCAGAAGCCGGCCATCATCGTTGTGTGAGGTGGCGAGTCACTGCTCGTCTTGCTTGCTCTTTTGGTGTAGAGAGCAGGGCAAGCACTGCTGCTGTTGTTACCCACCCACACGCTGGTTGATCTTGGCGAGACCGCGTGCATGCGTGAGAAGAAGTGCGCGTGTATTGTCAACGATTCTTGGAGCTGTCCCCTGCCTTGTTCACCCCTTCCATGGGTGGAAAACTTCCCGCCGTCTTAGACTCAAGTTCCAAGAAACGACATACGCCTCAATGGTCTTTCCTAATCCCGACGTGAAAAACTGTTTCGAGAACTTACACCGAGATCGGATACATCCAAGAGAAAAAAAAGAAACAAGAGGGCAAACTCTTCTGATTAGCTTCTTTGGCATCAATAGATGGGAGCGTCAAACAAGAAGGGGACTAGGAAGCCCGCATGCACCTGAATCCGGCCCCGCCTGCCGCCCGATACGTCTCGACAGCGCTCTCCAGATCCCGCTCGTAGGTCAGCCACCTGTGTTGAATCCGGAAACCCCCAGCGGACAAGAAAAAAACAAACAATAACAGACGAAACAAAACAAACAAATGAAACCAACAACAAGAAAGAACGGTGCAATACGTTTCGTCTGCCCTGCGAATCGAGAGTGGGAGGTGTGGCCGGGACATCACGGTGCTCGTCTTGATGGTTGCCGGAATGAAGGGTCCAAACAATAACAGAGGGCCCTCGCGCGTGCGTTGTAGCGGGGGAAATCGCTCGCGCCTCGAATACTCGGCCAACAAAGACGGCGAATATTCTAAGAAAAAGAACTGCCCTTGACGCCTCCCCTTACCCCTTGCAAACTTTGCATGATATAAAAACAAACCAAAACAACTCGCTTCCATTGGCCTCTGAGGTGATCTCGGGGTCAAAAGACACGAACAAATCAAGTCCTTATATATTGATTTACTGCATTGCATTAACTTTTGTCCTTGGGGAGAACATCATAACAGGGTGGTCAATAATTCTAATTTTGCGGTTTTGTTGGGGAGTGTACTTATAGCCGTGCATGCCATAGTCGTCAGGCCATTGACCTCGCACCCCTACAAGGCCGGGACGGAGCACGCCGGGNGGGGGGGGGGGGGGGGGGGGGGGGGGGGGGGGGGGGGGGGGGGGGGAGGGCGTACTCTAATGTCTTGCATGCCTATTAGCGGTTAGAGCACTAATCACGCGTCGTCACCAAGAAGAAGGAGCACTGTTAACACAGGACCGATCACCGACGGCCAACCGTTCCTTGCTACTTCGCCAAAAAGGCGGGGGTTAAATCACAAACGACGGAAATACACCTTCCGTGAGGAAAAAAAGTACAACAACCCTATTTGCCTCCCCCCTCTCACCCTTGCGCTCGCTCCGCTTCCATGACATGCATGTGCAACAAGTGCAGGCCGCTGCCGAAGTAGACGGCGTCCGGAGAGCCCAGCGATTCCCACTCCGGCGGCTCCAAAAACTTCTGGAACGAGCGTCGGAAGCACACCCCTCGCCCACCATTGACCGTGTGGTTGTGTAGATCGAGAGCCGGGGTTCCGTGGTCGTTGGCGTCCTCGCCCTCTTCTGCGGGCTCTCGCGGCAAGGTATCGATGCAGCACTCGTCTTGGTGACCCTGCCGCACCGAGGGGCGGACAGGGGGGGGAGGGGGGGTTCTCGTAGTCGTGCATGCCGTAGTCGCTAGACCATTGACCTCGCATCCCTACAAAGCCGGGACGGAGCACGCCGGGTTCTCACCGGACCAGGCTCTGGGGGGGGGGGAGGTTTATGTTTTCGCCTGCCCTGTAGCGTTTAGACCATTGACCGCGCATTCGCGAGAGGACACAGCACGGGGTAATTTTCATGTATTGCATGCCCTAAGAGTAGCGTTTAGACCGTTGACTACGCGTCCTCAGAAGAGGATGGGGAGGCGTGGAGAGAGAAAGGAAAATGGCTTGGTCCGCACAGCAGAGCAGGGCAGAAGCGGGGGGGTAGAACGCGACACGCTTTAGAACCGATATGGTCGGTCTACAACGTCAAACGCCATATCGGTTCCTCCGAAAAAAAAAAGCACGGTATCCGCATCCCAAACGAGAGCCGTAGGTTCATGGTCCATGCCAAGATAGGGAGGCAGAGGAAGAGCGTACGGCAGGCTGTGTTATGCTCGTCTTGGCGAGCGTGCGGCAACAGCACGGGGCGACACCGCGCGCGGTACCATCACGCCGACAGCGTTTTCTTGAAGTCGGGGATGGGTCCTGGGCGTCGAGCATCGATGGAACCCATGCTCTCTCAGACGTGCATGGAAGCTAGCTCAAGGGATCTCGGTTGTTCGACTTCGTTGCTGGACCCCCGCCCTTCCCGGACACAGCAGTGGGGGGCCCTGTTTAGGGCCGGTTGGAATAGGGCCGTTGCGCGGTATAGTGCCGGGAAATTGTCTCCGTGCACGTACCGGCACTAAACAGCCCGCGCTCCTGTAGCTTGTACAATGCGACGTGATGCTATCATGTACCAAAACCCTTCGATTTAATATCCACGCGTTCGGTTCGCCGTGTGAGTGAAAGACCTCTCCCCCCCGGCCCCCCCCGGTGTTTGCCATCGGGGTTGGG